TATTCCTCGCAGCTACGGCACCTGGGAGGTCCAACCTGGGAGGTCCAACGTCAGGGTGTCACAAGGCCACAGCTGGAATCCCACAGGGTGGAGCAGTCGGGAGCGCTCTGGGGCCCCTTTCTAAGGGCACTGATCCTTCCAGTGATCAGATGACGCAGTCCTCTCCCAAAGGCCCCTCCTCCGGACACCTTTGAATTTGGGGAGGTTAGGGTTTCAACATATGAATTTTGAGGGACAAACATGCTGACACAGCACACACCGTCCTTGTCCTGATGGCACACAAGCGTGCTTTGACTTAATAATTGCTACATGAAAAAGAGGTGTGTATGTACAGGGTTGTGTGTGTAAGAATACATATGTGTAGGAGTGTGTGCGTAGAGGTGCGTGTAGCTAGAGGGGCATATGTTTAGGGGTATGCGTGTACATTCTACATTTTATTTATTTATTTATTTACTTACTTACTTACTTATTTATTTATTGTTTCTCCTCACCTGAGGACATGCTTATTGATTTTTAGGCAGAGGGAAGGGAGCGAGGGAGAGAGGGAGAGAAACATGGATGTGCGGCAGAAACATCGATCGGTTGCCTCTCGCACGCCCCCAGCTGGGGAACCCACAACCCAGGCATGCGTCCTTACTGAGAATCGAACCTGCGACCTTTCGGTCTATGGCACGCAGCTCCAACCAACTGAACTACACCAGCCAGGGCTACATCCTGGAAACACTTTAGACAAACACTCAGAGAAACCCCATCAGAGATGGAATGAGACAACACCCCATCCCCCACCTTCCCAAGCATGCGAGGCCCCTCCCTGTGTGTAAGAGCCTTGTCACGGAGGAGTCTCTTCTGACCCCTAAAAGGTACCTGTGCCCTGAAGGTGAAATACTGTGTTTCTTGGCCCTCCCTGCTCTGCTCCCCTCACCCCACCCCTACAGGGGCCAAGCAATGGACCCAGCCAGCTGTATCTCCGTCTCCTAGCAACTGTCCTTGGAAGGTAGGCAGTAGAGGGCAAGGTCTGGAGGCTGGGCTGGGTCAGAAGGGCAGCGGGCTGGCTGGGCCTGCGCTGCTGCTGCTCCCGGGAGCCCACCCCCCAGGGCTAGCCAGCCGCCTTCTCACTGGTGTCGTGGTGGTCGGGGTGCGTGCAATTTTAGCTGTGTAATTTGTGTTGACAGAATGGATGGGAATGTTTCATCAAGCAGTTACACAAAGGAATCTGACTCGTTCAAAACACAAAGGTGACAGCCAGCAAAAATTAACGTGACACGTGCTCTGCACTAAGTGTTTGCCAGCCCACTTAATGAAGGAGACGGCTCCGTCTCTGAGCTGCTCACAAAGGCAGAGAAAGGCAGGAAGAGTTACTTCCTTGGCTAAGTGATCACAGTTCAAGCAAGAAGCGTTCCCTCCCTCTGCCGTTCATCCAGTAATGGTCCCCTGAGCCTGTCCTGGGTGCCCTGGGACCCTCCTACTCGGGTCATCTCTGGCGCGAATGGGCCTGGGACAGTCATGCTCTGCCCTGTGACATTCTCCTTAATCAGAGTCACCGAGGTGAAGATTCAAGGTAACCTTGGAGTGAAAGCAATGTCACAGAAGTCTGCTGGGGGCTGAGAAGCAGGTGGGGGAGGGAGTGGGGGTGTGGAGAGGGTCTGTCTGCTTGCTTTGCCTAGGTGGCAAGAGGAGACTTTCTCCATTTTCTTTTTTTCCTTTGCTTCTCTTTGGTTTCCTTCTCTGTCCTCTCTTTTTCCTCTCCTCTTCCCTCCCTTTCTCTCCCCAGTTTTTGAAGAGGGGTCTGTGGAGGAAGGTTTAGGAGGTTCCTGAGCCTTAGCAGCTGCAAGTGGCAGAGGCCACTGGAAGGCCGAGTGGGGCAGCTTTGGGAGTATGCAGGCCCGCTCTTGGCTTTGCCCTGGGGGACTGCGTGACCGGGGCAGCTGGGCCTCGTTGGCTCCCCTGGAAAGCGCGGGGCTGGGCTGGGCCCGGCCAGCTAACATTTCAGGACCACTCCCTGGCTGTTCCACTCAAGTCTCAGGTTTTGGTGCCTCCCTAGCGCCCTTCAGGAGGGTGGGGGCAGGGAAGGGGTGGAGCTGACTCTGCAGCCAGGCCAGCCCTCCCAGCTGACAGAAAGCGCTGGGGCGGGGGGGGGGGGGGGGGGGGGCGCAGGGCGGGCAGAGCACCAAAGCACAGGACTGCCGGGTCCCTCATCCCCGGATACTTTGCCTTGTGAAAAGAGCTTTATTGTCACTATTATTTTTGGAGCACAGGTACCTGATGTAAAAAGAAATTCAGTTGGACAAGAGAGATCCCCCATCACCATGTTCACCACGAGGCGTGCGCTCCCGAAGCTTCTGAGAGCACAATGTGAGTATGTAACGTGTGCACTTCGATGAGTGGCACTGCGGTGAGCCGCGTTTTGACCTTCTGGCTCAGGAACTGCGGACATGCTGGTCACCAGGTCTGTCACAGCGAAGGAGAGAAGGGGGCAGCTCCCTCCTCCGAGGGCAGGGCAGGCAGAGAGGCAGGCTGTCCCCAGCTGTGTGTAGGTCCTGTCTTTTGGGCACCAGGAGGCTTCAGTCTCTCCTGGTGCAGGTGGTGTGTAAGTTTCAAACTGAAGGCACTTTAGCCCCTGTGATAGTTAGTTTCCTGTGCCAACTTGATGGGAGTTAAGAGGTGCTCAGATAACTGGAAAAACATCATTTCTGGATGTGTCTGGAAGAGATTAGTGTTTGAATCCATGAACTGAGTATGAAGGCTGGCCCTCCCAATGAGGGCGGGCCTTATCGAATCTGCTGAGGGCCTGCAGAGAACAGAACCCTGGAGGAAGGAGAGATTCGCTCTTTGCTGTACCCGGCACATTGGTCTCTTCCTGCCCTTGGACATCAGTGGTCCTGGTTCTCGGGCCTTCGGACTTGGACTGAATAATACCTCTGGCTTTCCTGGTTTTCCAGCCTTCAGATGGCACAGTGCAGGGTTCCTGGTCTCCATACTCATGCGAGCCAATTCCTGCAATAAATCTCATATATAACACACACACACACAGTTCCTATATACATCTCATAGAACACACATATATGTGTGTATGTATCTATGTGCATTATATATAAAACACACACACACATTTCCTGTTGGTTCTGTTTTCTGGCAACCCCTGGCTCACACAGACTGGTTGCCCCATTTTCACCGAACCTTCAAAAGCAAGCCTAAAACCAGTTTGATGTTAGAACAAAAGGCAGAGTCTCCAGGGATCGATGCTGCCTTCTTTCTTTTAAGAAACTTAAACATTACAAACACATGCCTCTTAGTGTGAAGAAATTAGAAAACAGATACGTCTAGAGAGGAAAAAAATAACAGCGTTCCTTTATTTAAACATGTACTTAGTGTTTTATAAAATATGTGCACTTTTAACACACATTTAAATAGCCTTTTTGGTTGGCTTGATGTTTGCCATTTGGAGCTAGCTGGAGGTGACATGTCATGCCTTACATCTTCTGGGACCTACACGTGAAGCCGCATTCCTTTAGCCAGGCCCTCGGAATATGAAGATGAATATAATCTGGGTTCTTGCTTTGAAAGTTCTCATGGCGTGTTAGGAGAATGGCCCTAAGTAATTATAGTATAGGATGGTGCATGCTAAAAATTAGAAGTATACTGAGAAACGTGGCGCCAGAGAAGAGGTACGGTATAGATGTGAATTGTGTACATTCTGAGGCCAGAGAAGTAATTTAGAACCTCTTCCTGCTCAGCTGCTACTCCAGGCAAATGTTATTCATCCCCAGGATGAGAGCGCCTCAAGGACACTCGTGGATGGATCTGTGGAGAGGGAGCTCCAACTCTTACTTTCCACGGCTGGAGGCAGAGGGGTCGGTGGTGACGTCTCGGAAGCTCTGCTTTGCTGGCCTCCCAGCCCCCGAGGCTGCAGCCCCTCCATGTGTTGGTGTCTCCCGCTGGAGGGAGTGGTCCTGCCTTCACTAAGGGAGCGCACGTCAGCCAGCAGGCCTTGTGATTTTACCAAGCTGGGACAGACTCTGGTTATGCACAGGCTTCTACCCTGTGAACCCCTAGGCGTGTGTGGGGGTCAGCCCCATGGCCACCCTCACTCATGCTGGAGGAGTGGGCTGGGTGGGTGAGGGCGTTCTCACGCCTGTGGGAAAGTGCATTTGCTGTGATGCAAACTTCAACACAGGGAAGAGCTGTGCGCTGACTTAGGCTAACTGGGCACCGAGGCCGAGACAAAGAAACACTTGTAGAGGGCTTCTTACAGAGCGCTCTTAGGAAACACCTCTGTGAGAAAACGAGCCTGACAGAACAGGCAGCAGGAGAAGCGGATCAGCACTGACGTGGCCACTGAGGTTTCTCCCACAGAAAGCCCTGGAGCTGGGACGGACCTTCAGAGTTGTCCCAAACTGAGGCAAGGGTGTGGCGGCGATGTGTTCACATCAGCCGGTCACCGATTGGCCGTGGGCTACCTCCTGGGAGGAGGGATAACCTTGGATGAACCAGTTCCCTCCAGCCAAGGACGATTCCCAGTGAGGGACTCAGCACGAGCTATCAGTAGCAAGATTCCCAGCAGCAGGGGGCTGGATGTTCAGAGGAAAGGGGGCCTGGGGAGACAATGACAGTATCCACAACTGCCCACCTTTTGTGCCTCTCACATCTACTTACTTCTTATAGCTCATCTAGAAACAGGTCCTTCAGGATTCAGATTGGTCTCATTTTCTACGAATTGACAGGCAAAGGATGAGTGGAAAAACCCTACCTCCTATTGCTACAGCTGATCTTCTCTCTCTCTAAGGAGTGACAACAGTTTTGTTAGCACTTAGCAGACAAGCCAATGGTGGGTGGACAGGCCAGTGGTCAGATGTTTGGGCAGGCAGCAGGGGACTTGTGGGCAGGCGGGCTTGAATCAGGCAGCTAGGCAGGCAGCAAGCAGGGAGGATGCAGTGGATGGCTGCCTGGGGCGGGGTGTAGCATCCCTCCAGCCACTGCCCGCTGGGCCCTGGGTCTGTGGCTTAGAACTCCGTGTCCACCCCATGGAAAGCTGGCCTGTCTGAGTCAGACATTGACGAAGAGTGAAGGTTGGCCTCCCTTTGTAGCGTGATCTCCTTTAGGGCAAATATGGAAGTGGTGTCAGGAAGTTTGTGGATCTGCTCCCCCAGACTGAGGAAGAATGGGTGTTTCATGGCATCCTCTGCGGAGATCCGATTGCGAGCTTCAAACTGCAGCAGCTTGGTGAGGAGGTCAACCCCATCACTATCCAGTCGGGGTGCAAGGCTCTGAAGGGCTTTGCCGCGGTACCTGGGGAAGTTGCGTGCCTTGAACTCTTTGTTGGACAGGATGCCCGGCCACGTCTCCTCAGTTGGGGTTCCCAGGACGCGGAAGATGACGTGCAGCTGCTCCTCCACTGCGGAGCCCGGGAAGAGGGGCTGGCCAGTGGCCATCTTGTAGAAAATGCAGCCCACACCCCACAGGTCAATCTGGGTGGAGTAGTGCGAGGACCCGAGCAGGAGGTCGGGGGGCCGGTACCACAGTGTCACCACCTCGTTGGAGTAGGTCTTCATGAGAAGTGACTCGGTCCGGGCCAGCCCAAAGTCAGCCAGCTTGAGCTCTCCTCTCCTGTTTATGAGCAAGTTCTGGGGGTTGAGGTCTCTGTGTAGCACCTTCTTCCGGTGACAGTAGGCCAGGCCACGGAGCAGCTGGAACAGGAACAGTTTCACGTTGTGCATGTTGATGACAGTCCCACAGTCATCCAGGTACTGCTGCAGGTCCTTGTCCAGGTACTCAAAGACAAGGGTGAGGGAGTTCTCCATGTGGATAATGTCAAGGAGCGCGATGATGTTGGCATGTTTGAGGTCCTTGAGCAGAGACATTTCCCAGATGGTGGTGCAAGGTAGCCCCTCTTCCTTTTCCAGTTTAATCTCCTTGAGTGCCACGAGCTCGTCTGTGAGCTTGCTTCTGCCTTTGTAAATGGTGGCCTGGGTACCCTCACCCAGCTTCTCCAGCTTGATGTAGGTCTCCAGTTTCCCAAAGGCAATCTCAGACAGGCTGACGAGGTGGAGGCGGCGGCTGAGGGCGTTTTCCAAGATGTGGCGACTGAGGGTCACCTTTTCCGCGTAGCCCCGGCCTGGCGGGATGTCAGAGGGAAGTGAGGGGTGCTCTCTGCGTACCCTCCCTGGCCCCTGCACCTCATTCGAGGCCGTCGCTGAAACCTGGTCACTTACTCTGTTAGACCCCACCTTCAAGCCCTTGCGCACAATCTCTGGTGCAGAGCTGAGGAGTCCCGGTCCAGAGGGAAGGTCCCCAGGGGCAGCACGGGTGTGGGCCCCTCCAAGGCCACTGCCACGGCCACCACGACTGTCGTCTTCAGGGCCCATCTGTTCAGGGGCACTGTTGGTCTTGTCTCTACCTCAGCCCCCTCCGAGTGTCTCTGACAGCTGCCTTGTGATCTTCATCCTCTCCAAGGCGATCAGAAGATCAGCTCCTCCAGGGTAGATTTCTGAAGAGTTAGGTAAAGCTGTCTCCCGAGGCCCTGAAAAAATAACGGTGGGGGCGCGCGAGCAACCTCAGCGCGCAGGGCCTGCACGGAGGCGCCTAAGCGCAGGGCTGAGGCTGAGCGACCTCCTGCTTCTCCTCCTCCTCCACAGGTACGCCGCAGGCCCCGCCCCAGTCGTCGTCTGGCCCCGCCCCTTCCAGCAGAGGGTGGCGAGGAGGGGAGGTGAGGAGGGGGAGGAGGAGGAGGAGGCAGCGTCGGGCTCACCCCGCCTTGAGCTTGACAGCGTGGGCCATTCCCAGGGGTCTCGGCCTCGCAAGTTCGAGTCCAAGAGCTCGCGGAGTCACGGGGATCCCAGAGCCCATCAGCCTAGACGCAACCCCCACGCGCCGCCTGCTGCTGTTGGTCTCAAAGCCGTACCTGATACCATCCTCCGACTCCACCACCATCCTAGATACCCCTCACCTTTGCCTGATGCTTTTTCTAGTCTTAAGTGATTTTTCTGGTGGGGTTGATCAGACAATTATCCTTGAGAGGTCTGAGCTCCTGGTTACCAGGTTCTTAGGACGCCGCTACTCTGTTTGTTTACTGTTAAAACAAGGCATATGAACACTGAGAGGTGCCCCAGTGGATAAATTTAGCACCAAAGAGATTCCTTCCCGCCTCCAGCGTCTAGCAGCAGCCTCACATTTCCTCTATCATTCCTTTCCATGCCTGTTGGCCTTCGAGCTGGAGGGATCCAGGGACTGTTACAGCTGCCGCTTAAAGTTTAACAGACTCTTACTGAGACCCCACATCCAAGCGCTCCTCCTCTGGGGGCCAAGACATCCAGGCTCGCAGAGCTAGGGTGGGAGGACGGGGAGCACAAATCCCTCAGTGGGACGTGGCTTGGTGGTCATCGGCCCCCTCTTGCTCCCGCCCTTCAGTTTCCTGACTCTTGCGTTCCGCCCCTAGGGGGCGCAGTCCCACACAGTGGTCACGCATTCAGGGTCCATACTGTGTCCGGACAAGGATATCGTCCTCAAGGTCACATCTCCGTTTCTTCTTTCAGAGGCCATTTCACCCCCCTGTTAGGCTTGTAATCCCCGGGGATGCAGTCGGGCAGGACAAGTGGGCCCCATGATCGAAGGCCCAAGGCCACTACTGCACTTTTTTTTTTTTTTTTTTGTCATAAGGTGGGCCCCTTGGCCTAAGACCATGCATGCTCTTTAGGGTTTTATGTCACCTGAAGATATCTGTTGAATCCTTAGGCCGCTGGCCTGGCCAAAGCCCCATAGGCAGACAAAGCAAGCTCGTGCTGGACAATATATTTGCATTAGTCACATTGAATCACTGCCCCTTTCAGGGTGAGAGGGGTCAAGAGTTGCCACCAAGGGCCTAATCCATCTTCTCAAGATGGTGTCAAAGGTGAGGCTCAGTTTCGATTCTATAGCTAGTAGGTTGGGTATTTGGTGGGGCCAGCAGCTACATGTGCCGTGGTGATGGCGGCAGCCCCGCTGGGCCCGTGCAGAGCTCCCTCCCTTCTACCATGGTTACCTCACTCCTGTGCCTGTCGTATCTGTATGCAGGGCTGGGTGGGGGGGGAGGGTGGGGATGTCCCGTAACAAGTACTGGCTGACGTCACAGGACCAAGCCATTCTGTCCACTTCGTTGTTTTGTGTCTCCCATTGTGGGTGCTCTTTGGTGGTGATTAACCTGTGATACTAAAATCTCCACACTTTGTACCCACTCCTGTTTGTCTGGGTGCGCTTCCTGAGACCTTGTTCCTAACTTTCCAGTCTGTCTCCTTGTAGGACTCCAGTCCAACTAGCCAGTCCAATAAAGATACCCTAAGTCTACGAATATTTTTACTTTGGGCCATGTCTCTCTCCCTAAAATGGGAGGCACAAGGCATTGCCCACAGTCCGGAAAATTGGGAAGAGCTCCCCTCATTGGTCTCTATCAGGGTCACTACTGAATGGCTCTGTAGTGCAAGAGCAGCCCATTTTCAGCTCCTGCGGGCACACCAAGGTGGCCCATCCATATATCAAGTTCAGGCCTTCCCTCCTCCATTACTGGGTGTCAGGGAACCCTCCCCTGATCTCTCAGCCCCAGCAATAGCATGACATTTGGGACAGAGATGCCAGCGCAACAATGGTCTATGACACAGGGGGTTGAGGTTACCTGCTCGTGTAGCTCACATACAACCAGAGGCCCTGCTCGCACCCAGATGTACCTCTTCCACCTTACAAAGGATTGGTGTTGGGGTGGCCTGAATTTACAGCTTGGGGGTATGAGAGAGCCCAGCTCATGACGGACAGCTCTGACCACACGACCACTTGATGCCCATGCTCATATAGTCCATTTTCACTAGGGCCTTGTGGCAAACCAGGTCCTGACTTCCCAATGAGAAGGCTGTTGCAGATGGCATGGTCTTGCTGCAAAACCCTAAGCGTCACACTGTGATTCTTTTGGGGGCTTGCCATCAACTTTACTTGATGTCTTTTCCCAACACAAGAACTGTTACTACCACAGCGTCTGCTGGGTTGTATGGCCACAGGACAGGGTGTTTGTGTCACACCCTGGCCCCGAGGCAGAGCCCTTTCTAAGCCTCATTTAAAGCTGGCCACCTTCCATGTCACCTGGTAAATGGCTCAGAGCTGTTTTTTAAGTACAGAAAAGCTGCCTTCAGCATCCAAAGAGGCCCCCCAAGCCTAGCGCTCCTCTCTTAGCGAAGGGAGTTGTGAAATGTGATAATTAGTCATTTATTTAGTTGGAGGAGTGTCCTCTTATGCCCCAGACCATTGGATGCTAAAAATTTCACTGCTGTGGCAAGACCCTGAAGCCATGGAGTTCACGTGCACCCTGCGGAGCCCATGTGCTTTACCAAGGCCTCCCATGTTTCTACCCTTCTCGCTTACCTGCTCCAGTTAGCAAGGTGTCACCAAGGTGGTGGGCTCATTTGATAATCCGTGGAATGTACATAGGGTCAGTGTCTTTGGTAGAGAGAAGGTGACCCATCAAAGCCCTGGGGAAAACTATAGCTGCACACAATGATTTGTGAATGTGTCCTGCTGTAGAGCCTCCTCGGGAAAGGGAGGGAAAGAACACGCTTGCTGGAGCGCTGTCTGCCTATCGTGTGCCGGAGTCTCTGTTATCCGCTCTCATCAAGGCACCACATCTGGCCCGGGCGCCACAGTCGGGGCTGCTCTCTGCTGAAGTTGGCAGTTGTCTCCTGTCCTCCATCAAGATCTAGTTGGGTTTTGAAGTCCTAACGTTCCCATCGCTATTCGGAAGCCAAGTTCCGTAACAGCATCTCCTACTGCCAGTTCCAGCTGAAAGATGACAGACACCACTGGACATCTTAATGACACTGGTATCCCTTTCTCAACTCGTTCCTTATCCCCTTGGCAAATGGAGAGCCCTCCTAGCCTCCCATGGAACATGGTTAACTGATAGGTGTTCTGCCTGCGTCCACCTGATTATGCCCACGGTTTCTGAGCCCTTCGGGCCTTTCTCCCTTCACCTGCCTGGGAAGTTCTGGTGCATGTACTTAGTGTGGGCCATTGCATTTTCCAAGCTTCCAGGATTCAACCTGGCAGTTTATTAGCACCTTCTCCTAGACTTTTTGCCAGGGTGATAATTTCTGCCTTATGAGGGACTTTATCCACCTTTGTTCCTGCCCCTTATTCCACTGCCCTCTGTATTTTGTCCAGCACACATGTCTCACCTGCTCCTTCATGGATTACCCAGATTTTGCAGTCTTCTTGTGTATGGCCCTTCTCTTCCCTTAGCTGGCCTTGTCACTGTATTGCGATCTGACTGTGATTTTTGTTCATCCTATTAACAGAGGCAAAGGTTGGGGCAGGGGTTGTGAAGGGTTCCAGCAAGGTCTTGTAAGGCACCTGATTCACCTGAGGCTTGTGTGTGACGCTCTGGCAAGGAAGTACTCATGACTTCCTATCACAGGGGAGGGGCACCTCCTATAGGCCCTTCTCCCAGTAGGTTTGGGAGAAGCTGGGAGTTCAAAATTCTCAACCACATCAACCCAGACAACCACCTCCTAGGAGAGACTTCGAGTCCCCTTCCTTTTCTGTCATGGTCTTGACCCTGGTGTCAGAGACCTGTGCTGAGAGCCGACCTCCTCTGTAGCTCCGCCGCTCCTCCTGGATTAAGTGCTGAGCCCAGTTCTTCGTGCCGATGGCCGTCTGTTGTAGGAGTTGAAAGTTTCCTTAAATGCTGTGAAGGAAATCCTTTTTTCTTGTTTTGCCTTGAACTGCCTGATTCACCTGTCTTTGGCGAGCCAATCAGTGGCAGTCAGCCACAGCCACCAATTCCACGGTCGTTCTAGTTTCCCTTCGTGCCTCTCCAGCGTTGGAAATCTTGCCCAGCCAGTGCTCCACCACCCACTGGGGTCCTCACAGATGTCACTTTGCTAGATGTTCTGCAGTTGTATCACTAATGCAACCATAGACTACCCATGCTACAATGACCACCAGAGACGGGGTCCACACTGCCAGCTGGCCAGGGAGTTGTCACCTGCCACCTCCTGCTTTATAGTCAGCTTTCCAAGATTATTCCTGGTGCTAATTGGCTTATTGGTTCCCTGGACAGAGACTGTGAGGTGGAGAATTTTATTCAGGGTTCATTGGGGACGACTTTTGGGAGAAACAGCTGTTAAAAAAAAAAAGTGAGAAAGGAAAGACGGATGAGAAGAAGGAGGAGGACGGGGGAAGGAGAAGAAAAAGAAACAATTGACCTCAAATACAGGCTCCATTGAGGATTCAGCCACTCCATGGGAAGCTGTGAGCTAGGGTGATGGTCAGTATTTCTCTAGTTGAGGGATGTGGGGAGGGAACAGGTGCTGAGCCTTTGACTCTCACATCAGCCCATCAGTGGGCACAGCTCATCTTTTTCGGGAGGGGTGTCCCTTTGGGAGGGCAATTCCTCTCAGCAGAGAACGGCTCCCAGGGAGGGATGAAGCTGTGAACTGTTAGCAGCCGGGGACTGGACGGATCAGCTGTCTGAGGGGCGTGAGGGGGACACCGATGTCTTCACTGCAGGCCCATTGTGTTCACGCTTCCCACCGAGCAGCCAGGAGGGGATTGGGGTGAGGAAAAGTGAGGCACCAAGACAGCACAGAGTCAGTGGCAATGTCAAAGTCACACCTGTCTGAAATTATCCAACATTATTCTGATTGATCTTGGACAAGTTATTCAGTTTTGTTTTGTTTTGTTTGTTAACCTAAAAAACAGAAAACAGAGCATGCACTTTTGATCCAAGGAGTCCAGGTTTAATTCTCAGATCCTGCACTGCCTTAATGCTGTGTGATGGTGCATAAGCCATTGACCATGTCTGCGGATTGACTTTCTCAGCTGTAAGTTGGGGATGAGAGCAACCTCTTTGCAAGCTTGTCCTGGGGATTAAATGTGACAACTAGGTTAAACGCTC